ATACACTGCTGAGGGGAGGAGCAGGCAAGACTGGAGAGTTCTGCTGCGCCATATGGGTCGGCTCCCTGACTGGGGATCGAACTCATGCTGCAGTGGCTCCAGATTGCTTTATAGTGCTGAAACTTTAACCCCTGCACCACCAGGGAGGGCCTCAGTGAAAGCTTTTATGAAGAAAATAGGATTTTAAATGGAGTGGAGAAGGAAATGTAACAGAATATTTTATTTAAGTCTTTATACAATCAGATGCTCCCAAAATGTTATGAGTCATTCCTGGGTGGGTAGTGGTAAGGGGTGGCAGTGGGAACACAGAGGTACTGGGGAAACAGGCCAAGTACTAAAAGCAATGGGAAACACTCACTGGGACCTTTTTGGCTTCCTAGGGAGGTGCTGGTCCAGGCTTGGATGGAGTAGATACATGAAAAATGGGTTCACCTGGAGCTTGAATCATCATAAAGATAATTGTACCTGGTCGCTTCTCCTGAGAATTCCTTCTGTGGAGTCACTTGCTCTCTATGGAGTCTCTTCTTTGCAAAAATTACTTGACTGGGCTTTCTTTCACAGTATGACCCTCACAGTATGGTACCAGTCCGACTTTTAGACTATTACTTAGGCAGGTAGGGAAGAAGCTGAGATTTGATTTGAAAATAGTTTACATTTTTAACTTAAAAAAGAAAATTATATATAAATTCAAAGTAAAAACCCTTGCCCCTTTAAACAATAATAGTGATTCTTTGAGGACATTGAATATTATGAGAAGGTGGACTGGACCCAAGGCCGAGACTACATTGTGAGCTGCTGCACGGAGCGGCAGGAAGGTAGGGAGGTGGATGGGGGTGGGCTACATGTGGGGTTTTTAGGATTCTGTCTCTTCCTCACTGGGATAAAAGAAATAAAGCAGAATTTTAATCAAGTTTTTCTTTGCCTTCAATAAGTTTCACTCTGTTTTTCTTTATACCCTGTCTCCGCTTCCCTTGTATACAGATGTTGAATTTGAAATACAGCTTCTCTGCTTTATGTTGTCTAGATTTCCATGGCTGTTCTCTGCCCTCTGTTGGCAGTTTCTCTTGGACCTTTCTGTCATGTGTGCAGGAGATGATCACATACAGTGAGAGCTTTTTCTGCAGATCAGATCTGCCAAGCAGAGAGAAGGTTGGAAGGTCATTCATTATTCTGAAATCCTATAGACCTGGCAGGCATGGTCTAGTGTGGAACAAACCTGAGGGGCTACAATTAGCTGAGAAAGCAGGTTAAGTTGTGAAAATCTTTAGTACTGAACTCAGAGTCAGTTTGGGGCACCAGGCCCTGTCTTAGAGAAGATTAGCGTGAGCTTGATTCTCATGGCGGTCTCAGAACTCAGCAAGGGTCTTGAGGATCCTCTGGCCTAAGTGTGACTGGGATTAGCATTTCTTTTCACTAAGGAACAGGGTAACTTGGAAACCATAGAAGTTTCTAGTAGCTAGCTAATTTGCTCCTTGAAAGTTTAATCCCTTGGAGCTTGGAAGGGATTATGCTCAGTGAAAAAAACCAGAAGGAAAAAGAAAACTATCGGATGGTTTCACTTATAGGAAGAATGAAGAGGAACCAAATTAGAGATCAGGAAAAAAAAATAAATAAAAAACCCAAAATTAACAGGCAACTATAAATCAGAGATATTCTGCAGGGGAAGGGGAGGGTGGGGCATCAAAGCAGGGGAGGGAAGAACACAAGGGACTATGGTGATGGTGCATGGGTGAATTGGTTGGAATTTTATGAGGACTACAAAGGAACAGAGAGAGCATACATTGTACAAAAATGAACAATGATGCAATATATATATAAACAAATAAATTCATTAAAAATAGAAGTGGGCCTCCCCAGTGGCGCAGCGGTTGAGCGCTGGGCTGCAAAGGTGCCCGCAGCCTCTGCAGCACCAGTTCGATCCCTGGCCTCTGGCGAGGGTCCCACATGGCGCACAGACCTCTCCTGCCTCGCCAGCTGCTCCCCTCAGCAGTGCATTTTTTAAGTCTGTCTGTTCTGCTCCCTGCTCTGGCTCTGGTGAATTCTCTCACCCACCCGTGCTTCTGACTGTACCCAGTGCTTGCATAAAAAATAAAATAAATCTAAAAAAAAGAAGAAGAAAGTTTAATCCTTAACATAATTTAATCTGGCCATAATATCTGCCTGCTGTTCTCAGCAGGTTTCCCAGTATGTTCCTCATACCAGGACTTTTGCCCTGGTGAGAGCCTCCTGCCTTCCTGTACATTTAGCCTGACCAGCAGAACTGGGCACCAAAATAATAGCCCCAAGAACAAGGAGGGCTGGGGATCCCACAGTCCTTAATATTCAAATAATGATATCATGTAGTTGAACTTGTCTGGGAGTTTGGTAGTAGTGGAGGCTGGTCTTCACTGAGGTCTGCAGGTGTTTTAGAGATTCATCTGTGTCTTTGGTAGCCATTACTCTCTAAAAGAGATTTCATGCATGCATTTTGGTCCCATGAGCCAGCAGAATACCTGAGAGACCAGAAAGCCTGGATTCTAGTCTCCATTCTGGAGGGGAATATTACAAAGTCATATGGGATTGGAGGAGAGGGACAGGGGACAGCTATGTGACATTCCTCTCTGGGATTCAGCTTTCAACTATTTTAAAATAAGGGATTTGAAGAATACACTTATAAGATCTCTTCTAGTCCTGACATTCTGGAAAGAGTGTATTATTTTGGATCTGCCTTTCTCAATAAGCTGTGTGTAGTTGCTTAAAAAGCACTACAGATCTTCCTTGATTTACACCATTATAAACTGCAAAATATCCTAAATCAGAATGCTTTTCATACTCCTAACCTACCAAACATCATAGCTCAGCCTAGCCTCCCTTAAGTGTTCTCAGAACACTTACGTTAGCCTATGGTTGTGCAAAATCATCTATCATAAAGCCTATTTTATAAGAAAGCATTGATTATCTCATGTAACACATTCACTACTGTATTGATGGCGAGCTTTGGGACAGTTGCCTGGCTTCTCACCATTAATACACCCTCCTGATTACATGACCGACTAGGAGCACTACAAGAGAACATCCTACCCAATGTTGCTACCTGGGAAAAGATCAAATCTCAAAATTCAAACTACAGCTTCTGCAAGGTATGTATCGATTTCATGCCATCTTAAAGTTAAAAAAAAAAAAGTAAGAGAAACTTCACAAGTTGAACCTTTGCTAAGGTGGGGATGGTCTGTAATTTGGTTGACTCCCTCTAAAGTTATTGTCATGTGTTTCTTCATATTATTCTGTCATCCTTGTGACTGTTCTAGCCTTCTTTTCTTTGCTCGGATGGATGAAATTCCTCTTCATTAAGTGTCAGGAGCTGCAACTGGAGTTACTACCACCATGTTAAAGAAGGATATGACCTGGGCCTCCCTGGTGGCAAAGAGGTTTAGTCTCAGTGCTATGAAGCTATCCACAGCCACTGCAGCACGAGTTTGTCCCAGGCCAGGGAGCTACCCACATGGCACAGCAGACCTCTCCTGTCTCGCCCGCTGTTCCCCTCAGCAGTGTATTTCAGTTAATCTGCCTGTTCTGCTCCCCACTCTGCTTCTGGTGAATCTTCTCACCCACCGCATCTCAGACCTACACCCCACATCTTGTATGTATAAATAAATCTTTTTTTAAAAAAAAAAAAGAAGGATCTGTCCTAAGGTTTCCATTTCTACTGAGCTTGGGGCAAGAGATGTTGTCAGGCGGCTTGTTTTTGGCTTCTGCTCCTCAGAGACTTCAGCTGCATGAGCCTCAAAGGTAAGGACTTTATCGTATACTTTTTCTTTTTGTATTCACTCCTTACAGCTTGTTCAAGGCAGCCCTTGTTCAATAAATCTGCCTAGGAATAAAATGGTATTGTCCTTAGTTTTCCCCCAAACCACTAGGTGTCGCCTTTGTCTCAGAGAAACTACTCTTGCACCCCCTGTATGCACGCCCCCCCCCCCCACCAACCCAAGAGCTCTCCCAGCTTCTTGGCGCTGTGATTTCTAGAGTGACTTGAAGGAGAGGGACAAATTGTGGCTCTCAGCTAGGGGAGGAGAATGAGTTTATGTGCATGGCCTTCACGACAATTTGAGCAAAGCTCCCCAAGGACCTATAGCAGACCCTCCCAGCAACCATGACATCATCCCCCACAAGCTGTTACTCAGATCAGCACTACAGATAGGGGCTATTTGGGGTGAGCTTTCTAGGTGGAACCCAAGGGGGCTACAAAGGACTCCCATTACCGGTGGAGTGGTCTGCTTAGTTAGCCCGTGAGCTTTTATCACGAGCAAGCCTGTGCAGTGCAGGGAGACAAAAGAGGCTGTTCCTGGCCCCTGCCCTTGAGCAGATGGTGTGGTGGAAGCTCAGTGGAGTTTGGGGGGGCTCTGAGGACAAGGGAAGCCCCAAGAGGGGCCTGGGGACAGCAAGAGGGCTATCGGAGGACTTCATAATCACCGAGGAGAAAAAGATCAGCCATCGTGCCGAGCCCCTTGCTCCGGAGGGGCCTGTGCTGGGGAGCCGGCGTGTCTGCTGGTGAGGGAGTGGGGGGTCCCGGCACTGGGCGGGGTGGTGTGGCTTACTAGCTAGAGGAGGACTTGTGGAGATACGAAATATTTGGGGGATCCTGACTGCTTCCTGCAATCTGAAGTGTTTGAGGGATTCAAAGTGTGTGAGAGTTAAGAGAAGGAGCCCCAAGACCACCAGAATAGGAGAAGCGGAGGGGACAGGCCCTCAGCGGGGGACGTGTGAGGTGTACACAGCCAGGGGGGCCGGGGGGCTTGGGGGGCACAGGGTGGGCCCTTAAAGTGAGGGGCGCCTGGGAACCTCGCCGGCCTGAGAGGCCCCGCGGCGGAGACCCCAGGTGCCCCTGGATGGGCTGGAGCCCCGGGAGGTCCCCGGGCGCCGGGCGGGGGGCGGGGGGAGACGGCAGGCGCCGGAGGGTGGGGCCGGGAGGGGGAGGAGCGGGGCGCGGGCGGCCGGGGGGGCGGGCGCGGGCGGCCTGCCCGGGGAGTCACTCTCGGCCGCCGCCGCCGGCGCAGCGAGCGGAGACGGGCCGGGCCGCGGCGACCTGACCTGGACGTGCGGCGCGCGGGGCCCCGGCGGGGGCGGGAGGAAGCGCGGGCAGCGCCGGCCGCCGGGCCCAGGAGCAGCGGCGCGGAGAGGAGCTGGGACACGGGCGGGGCCGCCGCCGCTCCGGATGGGACCAGCGCCCTGGGCCCGTTAGTCCAGGCAGGAGCTGGAGGAGCCGGCCCGGGAGATTCACCCCGCTTCCCCTCCCCTCCGGCCCAGGCCTCGCTTTGCGCCCCGCCCGCCCATGGTCCGGGTCCCTCCGCGGCGCGGCCCCCTCGCCCCTTACCCCCTCGTCCTCCTCTTCGCAGCTTTGTGCCCTCCGAGCCCCTTCAGCTGTGGGGTCCCCCAGTCCTTGTGTTTGTACCAGCCCGCCCCCCACCCCCACCCCCACCCCATCCCAGTCTCGGGTCTCCTTTGCCTTCTCCGCTTTAGACCCATCAGGCGACTTCACCTCTCGCTGTCCCCATCCCGGGGGCAGCCCCCCTTGGTCCCCCCCGCCCACCGCCCTCCTCTTAGCCCTCAGTGTTTGTCCTAGGTCGGTGGGCCCACTCCTGCCCACCCCCTGGGGCTTCCTCCCGTCACCCTCCTGGGGGACCCCCGCCACCTGGTATCCCAGCCCACGGGCTGGTCTCACTTCTCTTCCTACCCTCTTCCTCCAGTTCCAGGCTTGGGCTGGTGCCTCGTCTGTAGGCCAGAGCCGCCCCAGGTTCGCGGGAAGGTGGGGTGGCTGCTTTCTTTCTCCCCATGGCACTGCCATCCCTCCTGTTGTTGGTGGCAGCCCTGGCAGGTGGGGTGCGTCCTCCTGGGGCGCGGAACCTGACGCTGGCGGTGGTGCTGCCAGAACGCAACCTGAGCTATGCCTGGGCCTGGCCACGGGTGGGTCCTGCTGTGGCACTGGCTGTGGAGGCGCTGGGCCGGGCACTGCCCGTGGACCTGCGGTTTGTCAGCTCTGAACTAGACGGCGCCTGCTCTGAGTACCTGGCACCACTGCGCGCCGTGGACCTCAAGCTGTACCATGACCCCGACCTTCTGTTGGGCCCGGGTTGCGTGTACCCCGCTGCCTCTGTGGCCCGCTTTGCCTCACACTGGCACCTTCCCTTGCTGACGGCGGGCGCTGTGGCCTCTGGTTTTGCGGCTAAGAATGAGCATTATCGTACCCTGGTGCGCACTGGCCCCTCTGCTCCCAAGCTGGGTGAGTTTGTAGTGACGTTACACGGGCACTTCAATTGGACTGCCCGGGCTGCCTTGCTGTATCTGGACGCTCGCACAGATGACCGGCCTCACTACTTCACCATCGAGGGCGTCTTTGAGGCTCTGCAGGGCAGCAACCTCAGTGTGCACCACCAGGTGTATGCCGGCGAGCCAGGGGGCCCTGAGCAGGCCACCCACTTCATCCGGGCCAACGGGCGCAGTGAGTGTGGCCCAGGCTGTTTTAGGGTCCGGGGAGGAGGGTCCTGTATCCCTGGAGCTCAGCATGGGGAAGCTGGAGCTGGAGGAAGGAGTTGAGGAGCTGTATGTGGTGGTTGGAATCAGGAGGCACATGAAGACTGATGCCTTGAGCGGGCTGAGGCTTTATGTGAGGGGAGCTTGTGGGGGTCATACGCAGAGGTAAACAAGGACTAAGATGGCATGGGGGTGGTGCTTGTGTCAAGGGAGATTAGGGGAGTATTGAGTTTGGGGAGCAATGTGTGTGCCCTAGAGTAGTGAGTGTGATTGATGGTTACTCCAAGGTGGGTGCTATCTGTGAGCAGAGACTTCTCAGTCTGGGGACCAAGACCCTGTGGTGGCAGGATTCCATAGTGAGGATTCCATAACTGGGCTTGGGCACTCAGGCAGATTTGGTTGGGAGAGACAGGTTAAGCTCCCATGGAGAGAAATTCTGAGCCTTCAGTGCCTTTGAGTCTAGGGAAAGACTGAGCAAAGAGGGGGAGTGAGGAGAACTGGGTGGGGAGCAGCAGGCAGAACTCTGGGAAGAGGAGGGACTGGAGGCCAATAGCTTCCTTTCTCTGGGGGCTGGAGCCAGGCTCTGACTTGGGCCAGATGGTCCATATGGCCCCAGGGTACTTGGGACTTAGGCTCTGAGGGGAGGGCTGGAGTATCTGCTGATGGGTGAGAAGGCCCTATCCTCCTTGTTAAGGATGGAAATGCAGATGGTTCAGAGAGGGGGACGTTTGGGGATCTGGAAACATTCTCAGGGTGTCCCTCTGTTATGTACCTGCTCCCAGTTGTGTATATCTGTGGCCCTCTGGAGATGCTCCATGAGATCCTGCTTCAGGCGCAGAGGGAGAACCTGACCAATGGGGACTATGTCTTCTTTTACCTGGATGTCTTTGGGGAGAGTCTCCGTGCAGGCCCTACGCGCTCTACAGGCCGGCCTTGGCAGGACAATCGCACCGGGGAACAGGCCCAGGCTCTCAGAGAGGCGTTCCAGGTATCATTTGAGCCAAACTTGAAGGAGGGGAAAGAGGGCCTACTTTGGAGATTCTCTCTCCAAAGAGAGAATCACAACACCCCACAGACACCCTAGGAACCGGGCAGGAACAGCGAACCGCAGGAGTGAAATGAACAGAGGAGTTCCAAGCCTAGAATCATTCGCCTCTGCTTCCCTGCTTTTGTGACTCTTTTCTCAGTCAGATTCTCAGAATCTTCTGACAAATTTCCCTCCCAAGACCCCCCAAACACTGACATTCCTGAGCGCCGGTAGTAAATGACACTGTGGAAGAGAAAATTTCAGGGAAAGATATGGTCCCTGCCCCTGGGAGGGGTTTCCTCTCTCTGGAGAGACGAGGTGCCATTGTGGTTCAGTTAAGTACAAGTGCGAGAAAGGCTGTGACTGTGTGCCCTGGAACTGACACTAAGGGACTTGCGTGGCTCAGAGGAGGGAATGTCGTGTGCGGGCTGGGTTTAGGGAAGGCTTTGTGCAGGAAGTGAAGCTCCATTGTGACGTTAAAGACAGATGCCATGTTCCTAGTGGGAGGTGGAGAGGATCCAGGGCTCCTCCTGAACAAATAGAAGAAGACAGAATGGGCATATTTGGGGAACCAAAAAGGTACTGACAAGAAAGAAGGGTTCACTGGAAGCAAATACAGGAAATAGTGATGCAGAGGTATAATTGGAATAATGAGAGCCCTGAACCTAAGATTAAGGGATTGGACTTGACTGTGGGGTCTTTGCAATTTTTTTTTTTTGAGAAGAAATATAATGACAGAATTGAGCTTGGCTTAGAAGAGGAGACTCAAGGGAGCGAGAGCACCTGTAATAGGCTAGAATAGAGTGAGGTGATGTGAACTTGCGCCAGGGCGACCATAGCAGGCATGGGAAGAAATGGACTTAATCTGGAAAGACAGTTGATGTGACTGTTCATTTCACGCCTCTGCTCATAACTTTCAATGATTTATTTCCTACAGATGAAAATCCCAACCCCTAATCATGACATTTAACATTTTCTACATCCTGTTCTCAGTGGACTCCTGCAGTCTTACTGCCTAGTGCTCGCATATGGAGTGCTCCAGGAGGCAAGACCACTCTCAAACATGCCAGCCCCTGGGCCTCCCTGCCCCCCCTCCTACTCTTGCTCCTTCTGTCTGGAATGCTTTTCCTTCCCTCAACCCATGTCTCTCTTTCTCAAAATCATGCCCATGCATTATTATCTGATTCTCGCACCAATTTTTCATATCCCTCCTTTCCGTGCTGTGGTTCTTTGAGTCTAAGTAGAGCTGTATGGGGATTGGGCTTGGACGCCATCTTCTCCGATGAGGAAGGTTTTATGTGGCTGTGATGGTGTATTTGGTTGTGACTGACGAGTGTGTGCGTGACTTAATGCCTGAGTAAGAGTCTGTGATGATTGCACTTGAATGTGGGCAGTGACAGGATAGGTTTTGTTTATAACTTTTGCCTGAAACAAACTCTTCACTTTGTTTGGGTTATGCTTGCATGTTCTTTAAGGTCAGACCAGCTATTTTCCCTTCTAGGAAACAATTCCTGAATCCCTGAGTTTACTGAGTTTCCCACTCTGTGCTTAACTTTGTCTGCTGTAGAACTGGCCACATTATTCATTTGAAGACTGACTCATTCTGTTACCTATTTATGTCCTAGTCACTGTGTTAGGGTTGTAGTGGAGAGCATAACAGAGGTGGTACCTGCCTTTTGGAGCATACATTTAGTAGGATAGACAGGAAGTAAACAAATAAGCAAATAAATGCAAACATAGAACAAATTATGAGAAGTCTTATTGGAAAACAAAAAAAGAATTGAGTTGGTAAGAGGAGACAGTGCACTTTTGCCAGTGTGACATTCCCATATGGGAGGACTCCATAGCTTTCTGGGCCCTATTATTTTTGAGAAAGAGACACCTCTTTTTCTTGTGTGAGATTTTCTAGCAGCCAACAGAGCCCAGTACTTAGGGTAGAGGGAGGACAGCACTTAGGGCAGGGGGAGGAGGGACCTAGTTCAGCTGAAAATTAGCTATAAAAAATCATTCTCATCTCTCCCATTCACTGTTAATGTTATTCAGACTGAAAAACTAAGACTTTTTGCTTCAATACCAGAGAAGGGGAAATTGACAAGCAGGAGTATGCTGAGTGGAAAATCAAGACTTTGGGGTGGGGTGGGGGTGAAGGGGATATGAGGTATCCTCTGGTAAAGCTACTCTCACTCTTTACCAATGCTGAAGCAGGGCAGGGGGTGAGGGAGGATGGCGGGGAAATTCTGAGCTAGAATCCAAGAATGAAAGAATAGAGAGTTCTTATGTCCCAGAGATACCAGACCCCTCAGTGGTCCCAAACCAGACCAGCCTGGAAAAGGTGGCAGTGCATGTGAGGAGTCCTTGGTATAGGTACCTGAGGCTTTTCCAGGAGGGTGTCATGCTCAAGGAGAAGGTCCTTGTTCATGCTGGCTAATTGCTATGGGGAGAGGGGCTCTGAAATGAAGCATGGTGATAGTACTTCTCTCTCTGTTAAAACATCACTGGTCAGGGCCCGGATCATGCTCATCTTTTTTTTTTAAATTTATTTTTATTTATTTATGCATGCAAGAACTGGGGTGTAAGCCAGAGTTGTGGAGGTTGAGAGGATTCACCAGAGACAGAATGGGGAGCAGATCAGGTGCATCCACTGAAATACACTGCTGACGGGAGCAGCCGGTGGGGCTGGAGAGGTCTCCTGCGCCATGTGGGTCACCTCCCTGGCCAGGGATCGAACTCATGCTGCGGTGGCTGGGGATAGCTTGATAGCACTGAGTCTTTAACCCCTGTGTCACTGGGGAGGCCCCATGCCCATCTTTGTGTTCCATGTGGCTGGCACACATCTGTGCAGTTGAACTGGGTCTGTGTTGGGGAGACAGGGATAGGACTAGGAATTATCTGGAGAGGAATAGACCTAGCAGGAACGACTGTAACCCATGATGATCAACCAGGATAGGGAAGAAGCAGATACCACAGAACTCAAGAAGCAAATGGCCAGGCCCTGAGGATCCAGAGGTCCATGATGTACAGTCGGGGGCTGCGGGGTCAGCAGCCCAGCAGAGGTCACAGCTTAGGTGGTCAGCATGAGTGTGGGTTACAGATGCAGTGAAAAGCACTAAGCCAAGGACTGTGTAGGGCAGAATCTCTTCCTAGATACCATTCTATGTCTGTTTTGGCCACAGCTGGTGCCTCTCATGGTGACTGAGTCTCCGTGGGTCTCAGTGCCGGTGTGTCTGCAGGCAGAGACAGGCACCTCCTACCCTTGCACATTTCCAAGGTGCATTCCTGGCTTCTAGCCACTGCTGAACCCATTTGTGGCTGCCTTTGCTTTTTAAAAATTTTCAGCCTGGGTTTCACTGCGAAATGGGACTCAATTACCTACCATCACCTTCTGGCGGACCTCTTTGGCTGATCATCCTCGTCTTCTTATTTTTATTGTTCTCTGTTTTGCAGTAGCTAGTAACCACAGCAAAACAGTATAGTGTAGCAGTTTTTTGTTTTTTTTTTTTAAGATTTCTCATGCTTTATTTATTTATATATTTTTCCTTAAAGATTTATTTATTTATTTATGCAAGCACTGCATAGTCAGAAGCACGGGAGGGTGAGAGAATTCACCAGAGCCAGAGCGGGGAGCAGAGCAGGCAGAAGGACCAAAGTACACTGCTGAGGGGAGCAGCAGACAGCAGGAGAGGTCTGCGCGCATGTGGGACCCTCACCGGTGGCCACAGCCGGGGATCGAACCGGAGCTGCAGAGGTTGCGGGCAGCTTCGCAACCCAGCGCTCAACTGCTGCGCCACTGGGGAGGCCCAGTGTAGCAGTTTTTAAAACGTGGTCTTGGGATCCTGGGGGCACCTGAAATCCTTTTATAGGGGGAATCATGAGATCAAAACTCTTAAAAACTCATATTAAGATGTTATTTGCTTCTCACTCATTTTTTCTTCATTTTTTTATTTTAACATTTATCATTTTTTACATTTTTTAGACCATATTTTCTTCCCCCAGACCCTCAGATTGAGTCCCCATAGAATCCCTTCCCCAAGGCACCCATGCACCATCACCACAGTCCCCTGTGCACCTCCCTCCCTCCCTCTCACGCCTCTCCCTCCTCCTCCCCTGCAGTGTGTCTCTGGTTTATAATTGTAGGTTTTTACTTTGTTGTGTTTTGTACTGTTATTATTATAATTATTTTTTACACTGATGTCTTATTTGGTTCCCCTATATTCCTGTTATAAGTGAAACCATCTGATATTTTTCTTTTTCCTTCTGGCTTATTTCACTGAGCATAATTCCTTCTAGCTCCATCCATGTTGCTGCGAATGGCATGAGTTTATCTTTTTTGATTGCTGAATAATATTCCATTGTGTATATGTACCACATCTTCCTGATCCAGTCATCTATTTTTGGGCATTTGGGTTGTTTCCAGGTTTTACCTATTGTAAATAGTGCTGCAGTAAACATAGGGGTACAGGTGCTCTTTTGAATCAGTGTTTTTGTGTCCTTTGGGTAGATCCCTAGGAGTGGAATTGCTAGATCATATGGTAGCTCCATTCTTAGTAGACTGAGGAACCTCCAGACAGTTTTCCACAATGGTTGGACCAGTTTGCACTCCCACCACCAATGTAGGAGAGTTCCTTTTTCACCGCATCCTCGCCAACATTTGTTGTTGCTTGTTTGTTTGATATGTGCCATTCTTACAGGGTGTAGGGTTTTATCTTAGTGTGGTTTTGATTCGCATTTCCCTGATTATATGGGATGTTGAACATTTTTTCATATGCCTCTTGGCCATTTGCTTTTCCTCTTTGGAGAAATGTCTTTTGACTTCTGCCCATTTCTTGACTGGATTGTTTATTTCGTTTTTATTCAGCAATGTGAGTTCTTTGTATATCATTGCCATCAGTCCCTTATCGGATGGCGTGCAAAGGTTTTTTTCCCAATCAGTGGGGTGTCTCTCTGTTTTGGTTAATGTCTCTTTGGCTGTAGAGAATCTTTTCAGTTTGATATAGTCCCAGGTGCTTATCTTTGCCTGAACTATCACTGCTTTGGGTGATGAGTCTTTCACCCTCATTCTTTCATGAATGTTCCAGTGGAGTTTCCTACCAGCTGCGTGATACGTGATGATGTCATCACTGTGGCAGCTCCGGGAGATGTGTTTTCTTGTATTTTAAAATTTTATCTGTTTTAACTTTTAATACAATGAATATTGACAATGTAATTCAAATAACCAAAATAATTTTTGGTAGTATAAAGGATTTGTAAGACTGGGAAGTTTGAGAACTGTTAGCTAGTCTAGTAAACAAACAAAGCTATAGAATTATTACATTACAAAAGCATTAAAAAACATCAAAACCTATCATTAGTCTTTATGTTGAAATATAAATTGTGTTAAACCTGTCTTTTCCAACTTTTTCACATTGTTCATCAACAATATCTTTCCTCCTATTTTCTTTTATTCTTGGAACAGGTGTTACTAAGTGAACCCTCAGTCCCTTTCTGTGCCCCTCTTTCTTTTTTTTTTATCTTGCTTGAGAGTGTGAGAGTATTAGAACTTCCAAATGTTGCTGTAAGAATAATTACATCATGAGGGCAACTCCAGTGTGTATCTGTTAGGGACTGACTTCATTATTTCCTTTGCAATATTTCCCAATAAATTGATATGTGTTCTATCTAGTAGCACTATGGTCTACATGACTTTTTGTAATGGGAATTAACAGAACTGGTAGAAATGACTGGATCTTAAGGTCTCATTTCACAGAGTCACATTTAACAAAATATAATTATGATCTGAAGTCTTATCCTGAAGTTGCATTGCTGGTCTCAATCCTGGTGGCGGCCTGAGACTGGCATGTACATCAGCTAGGGAAGGAGAAATGTGTGAGGCCAGGGGAGTCAGGCAGGCACCCAATGAGGGCCAGAGACATGCTGACTTGTAAGCAGTAAGATCATGCATGGCTGAAACCACCGGTGTCACTTCCCTGCCGAATGTGTGTGAGAGTGTGACTGTGTGTTTCCTCTGGGACACATATCTACTATTTAGTGACATGTAGGACTGTGCCCATACATGGGACAGGGCTGCTTATGGCAGGTACTCTACATATGTTAAATGGATGAGCTCACAGTCTTTCATAAATGGAGTCACATCTGTGTTTCTGTCACATCTGTGACACCCCTCAGGTGTCAGAGGGCCTGAAATCTCTTTCATTCACTCGGTGAAGGCTCTGTGTTCCACTTGGCCCAAATGAAAATGTAAACACTTTACAGATAATGGTCACAGTAATTAACACTTCAGGAGAGGAGTTGTTGATCAGCATTGTCCTTGATAATGAACAGACACCCAGAAAGGACGGGACAGAGGAACTGAGGCAGCCTGACAGGGAGGCCTGGGTGGTATCAGGTGATTTAGGAAGACAATGGGCTGAGCTTGGGGGATGAAGTTGACTTTATCTGTTTCCAGGGTCCTTCCCGAACCACCCTATCTACCTTTGAAGGAGGACTGCCACTCTCTCCCCAGATATATTGAACATGTGGGGCTTAACCTTCAGACACACCACGTGTCTTTCATTGCATGCATGTCTCACATTTGCCTCTCCTGCTTCCTGTCTTCCCCTAATGCCCATCTTGAACCCTGTTTACTTCTCCCCCTCCCATGTGCTGTTGGTACAGACAGTATTGGTGATCACATACCGAGAACCCCCCAATCCTGAGTATCAGGAATTCCAGAATCGTCTGCTGATAAGAGCCCGGGAAGATTTTGGTGTGGAGCTGGCCCCCTCCCTGGTAAGTAGCTGTCTCTTTCCTTTAGAGCTGGACCTGGCTTTGAGGAAAGACACTTCTCCCCAACTCAGCATCATGCCTTGGCTGTGGAGGCAAGGGGGCTGTCTGCTACTGGGGTGGCGGGGTAGGAGGGACTGTTTACCTTCATCAGGGTATTTCCTTCTGTCTTACTGTCCAGCTAGGTAGGGATGGCACCTTAGGAATGAGAGGAGGTAGAACAGGGGGCTGAGGGAGGGGTCCCTTGCAGAACCTTTGGAGGGCATTGCCAAAGTTATCACCCCCAGATGAACCTCATTGCTGGCTGCTTCTATGACGGGATCCTGTTATATGCTGAAGTCCTGAATGAGACGATACAGGAAGGGGGCACCCGGGAAGATGGACTTCGGATTGTGGAAAAGATGCAGGGACGGAGATACCACGGTAATGGAGGGCTTCAGATGAGAGTCCAGAGGTCTCTCAGGCACGGGAGTGGAGTGGGAAGAATAAAATACAGATAATAGGGGAAGGAGGGAGAGTTAATAGGGGTCAAAGAACATTGCAGAGAGGGACACATATTAAGAGTAGGGGCAGGGATGGACTCTGAAGAAGCTGGAGGGACTGGGGGAATAAGAGGGGTCTAGGATAGATCTCTAAGGAGTGTTCTTTCTACTTCAGGTGTAACTGGACTGGTTGTCATGGACAAGAACAATGACCGGGAGACTGATTTTGTCCTATGGGCCATGGGAGACCTGGATTCAGGGGACTTTCAGGTGATGGGGAAGGAGGCTGGGAGGAGTGTGGGCCCCGAAAATCCAGCTTTCAAGGGTTCAGCGGGGTGGGGGGTGGGACAGAAACAAAGGTACTATAGGTAGGGACTGATTTTCTCTGTAGCCTGGGTGGGTGGTAGCCTGAGAGAAAAGCAGTCAAATAGATGGGGTTTGGAAGAGGCTCGGGAGCAGGCCTGTGGGCCTAGTTTTCTCCTTCTCGCAGCCTGCAGCCCACTACTCAGGAGCCGAGAAGCAGATTTGGTGGACTGGGCGGCCTATCCCCTGGGTGAAGGGGGCTCCCCCCTTGGACAATCCCCCCTGTGCCTTTGACATGGACGACCCATCCTGTGATAAAAGTGGGTGTGTGCAGGGACTGGGAGCAGTCCTTCCTCCCTTACTCTCCGTTCCTTCACTTCTGCCTCACTGACTCCCCCACCCATAGCTCTATTTCTGCCTCTACTTCTACACCCCCTTCCTTCTTCCCTAATGAAATTTGTCTACTCCCTGTGCCCTGAGCACTACCCCTCTCCCCATATTTACATCTGCACACACAGTCTTCCTCAGGGCCCCCCTCTCCCTACAGCTCCGCTTTCAACCCTGGCAATTGTGGCTCTGGGCACAGGAATCACTTTCATCATGTTTGGTGTTTCCAGCTTCCTCATTTTCCGGTGAGTTCTGGCTCGCCACTCCCTCCGTTCCCATCGCCTCACAGTCTCCTCACCGTCTAATGGGGTGGGGGAGCCGGGCTCTTAATCTGGTGCTTGTCACTAAGACTCAATACCTCCCTCTCTCACCTTTCTCCTTAACTGTCTTCTAGCCTAGGTATTATTTCCCCCACTTTTGACTGTAGATTAGTGATTTCGAGTGGGGTTGGATAAGGGTAATGCACATTTCCATGGATGCTCCCATTTTAAGAAAGAATTTTGACCTTCAGTCTCTGTGATTTTAAATGCGCAAGGGGCATTTGTCCTGAGTCAGACATGTAGAGAGGGCATCCTTCTCTCTCAGTCCTGCCTCTCGGCTGTAGCAATTGCAGCTTCAGGAGCTGTAGGGAAGTCCCTGCATCCCCCCTGTTGGCGTCTGGGGTGGTAGGATTGGGCTTGCCAGTCAACTGAGGTGCGCAGTCCTTACAGAAAGCTGATGCTGGAGAAGGAGCTGGCCAGCATGTTGTGGCGCATTCGCTGGGAAGAACTGCAGTTTGGCAATTCAGAGCGATATCATAAAGGTGCAGGCAGTCGCCTCACACTGTCACTGGTGAGCCCATGTCTCAGCTGTCCCTCTGCTTCCCTCCGAGTTCCTGACCTTTCTCTCCCTGGACCTTTCCCAGCACACTGGCCTGTAATGACAGCCCCTGCCCTACCATCATCATCTAATGTTCCTTTCATCCTTCCGTCTCCATGTTGCCCTTGGCCCCAGCGGGGATCCAGTTACGGCTCGCTCATGACAGCCCATGGGAAATACCAGATCTTTGCCAACACCGGTCACTTCAAGGTGAACAGTCATCCCGCTTGTTCTGGTCCCCACCATTTCATCCTGTCTCATCCCCATCTGCCACCTCTCCCGTGGACCTCTGCCCCTCGTCATCCTCTCTGTGCCCTCTCTCTGCCCAGCTCAGCTCCTGGATGTCCCCACAGTTCTCTGTGTTTCCTAGCACCCAGAAACTCCGTCTGATATTAATTTCTCTTTTCCCCGTTCACTCCCACCATCAGGGAAATGTCGTTGCCATCAAGCATGTGAATAAGAAGCGCATTGAGCTGACCCGGCAGGTTCTGTTTGAACTCAAACATGTATGTAGAAGGCAAGGGTTGAGGGTCAGGGGGAAATAAGGATGGGAAGAGGAAAGGGGAAGGCTATCCACAGTAAGATTGGCTAAGAGGACCAGGAATTTATTTACAAGTGCAGGCAAAATTTAGAGCGAGGGCCCCCCCTGAGTGGTATGTGTCTAGTTCTTAGTTCTTTCAGTGATCTTTTCCTTTCCATTGTTTTTGTCAGATGAGGGATGTTCAGTTCAACCATCTCACTCGCTTCATTGGTGCCTGTATAGACCCTCCCAACATTTGCATCGTCACCGAGTATTGCCCTCGTGGGAGTTTACAGGTAAGGGTGGAGATGGTTGGCAGAGGCATGTGTGTGAGTGATGGGGGACCCAACGTGATCCTGATGCCATGGAGGTGACAGCTAGTAGGACTAGGATAGTCACATAATCTATTTCGTGTCACTACCCAGGATATTCTGGAAAATGACAGCATCAACTTGGACTGGATGTTTCGTTATTCGCTCATCAATGACCTTGTAAAGGTGAGTCTTCTGTACTCCTTCTGAGTTCGTCTGCTTCAAAATGCTTCTTTCTTTCTTTCTTTCTGTCTGTGCTTACAGTTTCTCCTCATAGTACTCTGAAAATCCCATTCTCTCCATTTCCTTTATGCCTGAGTTTGGGTAATAATGGGTACAAAGGGGGCCTGTACAGAACTTTTGTCTTCCTGCTCCAGATCTCACAGATTTCTCTTCCATTATCTTTCTTTTCACCTCCAAGAGCTTATATTAAAATCCCTTAGCAGGGAAAAAGATGAATGGGCTCTTCAAACATATTTATCTCCTGTTTTTTTCTCATTATTTATTCTCTGACCAATATTTGGTTTATCTGATCTTTTGTTCGTAAAAACTGAAAATTAAAAGAACGTTTACAAGGAAATCTAAGAGAAACCAAGGAAAATGATACTAAACCTTTGGTATCTGACAACATACTAGGTGTCAGCTATCTTCACAGGTCCTGTGTTTTTGGAGGTGGACATTGGAATCTTGCATGGTGGTTAGTGTAGAAGCCAGTCCCATGGCCAGTGAGCTGGCCTGATGGATCTCCCATACAATGCCTGAAGCTGGCTTTGTTTTTTTTGCTGAATTCTCATGAGGTTATTAAAGATTTTTTTTTGTGTGTGTGAAAGTTTGCCATCAAATGAGAAAAAATATTTGGCAAAGTTGATGTGGTGTTCAACTATGGGTGTGATGATAAATATAAGAAAAACATGACTCTGGAGAGAATAATAATGGATGGGAAGGAGATAGAGAACAAAGCCAGAAGCCTATCATTTCTATATTCACTAATTTGGAGATAACCAAGGATTTTGTGGATAACAAAAGGGATAAAAGGGAAGAAAACTAAAATTATGAATTGTTTAGGTCTGGACCTAGACTTTTAGACTGTTTAGACAGAGCTTTTTCAGTTCGAATACAGAACCCTGTGGCTTTCTCTGTGCCCCTTGACCTGACCTGGTGAGCAGGCAGGGTTTCCCTGATGGGAAGCACCACTCTGCCCACTTAGGACTGCCTTTTAGTCTTTCCTTGTCAAAGGTTCCCTCCTCTATGGCCCCATAGGGCCAGAAGTTTCCATCTTCTGTGTTGGTTTGCACTGTCTTCTGCTTTTGTCCATTTTCCAGGTTTTTCTAATACACTATTTTCTCTACTCTCTCTCTCTGGCCTACATGTCCTAGTAGATTGCCTTCACCCTCTCTCCAGATTTCCTGCTTAAATATGACTATATGTTAAAGTTTACAACTGGTTAGTCTTCCCTGGTGCATCTAACTACTCTTGATACCTGTGTCTCAAACCATGTCTTGCTAATGAGTGGCTACGAATTGGAGAGCACCATGGGTCATATCTTTCTTGGCATTCCCCTCATAGTTCTGCTCCCTTCACTACTCAAGACAATTGACTATTTTGTAGTGTAATAATTGATGACTCTCTTTATCCCTTTTCCTAAACATTTTTCTATCTCTGGTACCGGGGTGCCAATATATTGCTTCTGGCATTAGGAAGGTATGACTTTCCTATTCTGCCTGCTTCCTTGGGTGGAAATTCTGCAAAGACTGTCCTCCAAAATTAGTTTATTGTTTTTAAGTTTCCAAGATCTTTGGCTGGCTAACACCCACCTTGTGGAGTGGTGGTAGAGTTCTTCCAATCCTACGACTTGATCTGTATTCTACAGGGCATGGCCTTTCTCCATAACAGCATTATTGCATCCCATGGGAGTCTCAAGTCCTCCAACTGTGTGGTGGATAGTCGTTTTGTGCTCAAAATCACAGACTATGGCCTAGCCAGCTTCCGATCAACTGCTGAACCTGATGACAGCCACGCCCTCTATGCCAGTGAGGCCTTCCCCCTGAGCCCACTTTCATATTGCTCCTCTGGCCCTGGTGATTTCCACTGAGGGAGGGTGGGAGAGGGAGATGTATTGACAGTAATACGAGGAGCATTATGGGAATAAGCCCAGGTGGGCTTGGGGGTATCCTTTTTGGGGACCTGGTCAGCCTGTTCCCTCTTTTCAGAGAAGCTGTGGACTGCCCCAGAACTGCTCAGTGGGAACCCCCTGCCAACCACGGGCATGCAGAAGGCTGATGTCTATAGCTTTGGGATCATCCTACAGGAGATAGCACTTCGGAGTGGTCCTTTTTACTTGGAGGGCCTGGACCTGAGTCCTAAAGGTAAGTGTCAATCTACTACCCATGGGCTCTTCTACCTGGGGAGGGGGCCTCTGTTCTTCATCTGAGCCCTTTATCATCCTCAGAGATTGTCCAGAAGATCCGAAATGGTCAGCGGCCCTATTTCCGGCCAAGTATTGACCGGACCCAACTGAATGAAGAACTAGTTTTGCTAATGGAGCGATGTTGGGCCCAGGACCCAGCTGAGCGACCAGACTTTGGACAGATCAAGGGCTTCATTCGCCGCTTTAATAAGTGAGAGGGCATGAGGGCCCAGGGACTCCCAGGGATAGACGCCTCATCAGTCTTAGTGGATGAGGTGTTGCCGTTGGGGCAAAGTGTGGGTTGGGTAGGAAGTCCTGGGAGCCTTGAGAACTTTGCAGCAGGTACCATATCCTAGCCTCCCCCTCCAGGGAGGGTGGCACCAGCATATTGGACAACCTCCTGTTGCGCATGGAACAGTATGCCAATAACCTGGAGAAGCTGGTGGAGGAACGCACACAGGCCTATCTGGAGGAGAAACGCAAGGCTGAAGCTCTGCTCTACCAAATTCTTCCCCAGTGAGCCCTTTGTCACCTTTCCTGAATTTCCCTTTGGTGTTCTGCTCTGTTGGGTTCTGCCTCACCGAGCTCCTGAGAACTTACCCCTAGCCCTTAGAACTCTGCTTTGTTCCATCTTGCCACACTGTCATTCCAGCTAGAGACTGTTTTTATTTTATCTCTAAATGAGCTGTGCTGCCTTCTTTCTGGCTTCCCATTCCCTCATCTCAGACCACCACCCTTTGCTCCAGTGAGTATGTATGGAACGATCCCAACTTGAGACATTTAGACCCTCCCAAGGTCCCACCACTTGTAGCCCTTACCTTGTGCTAGGCTATAATGTCTCCCCAGCCACCTTCCTGCTTCCCCAGCAGGCCACACTCTCCTTTCCTTTCTCTCCCCCTCCCATTTCTCTGAGTTGGGCTCAAACTGCACCATTGCTTCCTAGTTCAGTGGCGGAGCAGTTAAAACGGGGAGAGACGGTACAGGCCGAGGCCTTTGACAGTGTGACCATCTACTTCAGCGACATTGTGGGCTTCACAGCTTTGTCAGCAGAGAGCACCCCAATGCAGGTGAGAGCCCCGGGTAAGAGGTAGGGGCCAGGCGCTTAGGACTCAGGGGAGCTGCGCTCGGGCACAGGGGTGCTTGGAACTAGGATCTGTTCCCTTATCTTGTGACAGCTCGTGGGTTGAGAGCTCTTAGGAAGTTGGGCGTAAGTCTCAGGGCCTCTACTTTCCCATCCCTGTTAGGTGGTGACACTTCTTAATGACCTGTATACCTGCTTCGATGCCATAATTGACAACTTTGATGTCTACAAGGTGAGAGCTTCAGCTACCCTTCCACTGAGACTCGATCTCCCTGAACGCCACATACCTTATCACCCCTGTGGTCAGTTTCCCCCTGGGTCTCCAGCGTCCTAGTGTAGACTCACGAGGCTCTGGCACTGTGCTTGTGTACTGCAGTCTGATTTCTCGAGAATTCACAGGCTTCCCTAATTGGAACCATCGCAAGATTTAGCCCCTAACTACCACTTTTTGCCTGGGGAATAAAAATACAGCCCACCCATCTTTTCTCTCTATTCCCTCAAGGCATGGAAGAATCATATAGGATGTGGGTACAGAATGATTTGTTGGGGGTGAGGGACAGTATATGTCTTCAAAGTTTTTTTTGTTGAAGTTAGTGAGTTGGCAGAGGGTAGGCTTTATTGTACTTGGGAGTAAAAGCGATTTGGATTTGAATATTGGCTTTGATGCTAACTGGGTGGCCTTGGGCTAGTAACACAAACAACCTGAACTGTGGATGTTTTATCTGTAAATTGGAAATAACAGGTTTATTATGGGAAGTGCCTAACATTGTACAGGTGATAAAGACCCACTCCTGGCTCTTCCCTTTGGACTTACTCTGCCACCCTGTTATTTCTGTAACAAAGAACTACTCATAAACCCTGTACCCAGATCCACCAATTGTTTAGTGTCTCCTGTTTTTTATTTAAAAAATCTACCTCTATATCTATATGGTTATTAAAAAAAATATTTTCTGAACCGCGTAAGTTTCAGACATAGCGCCATTTATTCTTAAATGGTGTCTAGTCTCTAAAGACAAGGACAATCTCTTGCACAGCTTCAGGATGACTAACAAGTCAAACACCTGCTGTCTTGTCTTTTGCAGTTTAGGCCGTCTGCGGCCCACATCGCTGGGCTTGCTTGACTTCCTCACCAGCCCCTGTGCTCCTTGGGTCAGCCCTGTTTTCTTGCTTCCTCCTTCCTGACAGCAGAGCCTCTTTGTCCACCACTGTCTTACAGGGCTTCCATTCATTCAGCAGACATTTACTGAGTACTTGCCAGGTGCTGGGGGAAGGAGGATTTAAAGGTTTCCTTGATACCCCTGTCCCCAAAGAGTCTCAGGACCACTGCACTTATTTTCTAGTCTGTGTTCCCCCCATGATAGTTAGAAGTGACCTTTTAATTCTCTCAATCAGGTAGAGACCATTGGAGATGCCTATATGGTGGTATCTGGTCTCCCGGGCCGAAATGGTCAACGCCATGCTCCAGAAATTGCTCGTATGGCCCTAGCATTATTGGATGCAGTTTCTTCCTTCCGCATCCGCCACCGACCCCACGACCAGCTGAGGCTACGCATAGGGGTCCACACAGGTAAGGCTGACTCACACTCCAGCCCTAGCATCTGCTTTCCCCAAGCTCTCCAACCTGTTTTTCTCACAGGGCCCGTCTGTGCTGGGGTGGTTGGCCTGAAGATGCCCCGCTATTGTCTTTTTGGAGACACAGTGAATACCGCTTCCCGAATGGAGTCAAATGGTCAAGGTGAGACACTGGCCCTCAACCCTAACTTTAGCCTCAATCTGTGTACCCTTTCTTCTTTTCAGAGTTCCCCCTTACTCTCAATTTGAGCGGGGACTATTTCCGACTGCCCTCTCCACGGGCATGATTTAATTCTAGTGTATATACATTGGGATGATCGAGAGCCCCTTGAGGGGTGGAGGTTGGGTAAAGCACTTTCCAGTACCACCAGTTCTTCTGCTGCCTTTTCTTTGAGTCTTCTTTTTCCGACCCCCCCATCTCACCCCAGCCTTGAAGATCCACGTCTCCTCTACCACCAAGGATGCTCTGGATGAGCTAGGATGCTTCCAGCTAGAGCTTCGGGGTGATGTGGAGATGAAGGTGATGGAGGGGTGGGGAGGAGGTCATGGAAGGGGAGGATAAAAGTGACTGTGGGGGGGCTATGGAGGAAGAGAAGGAGATAAAGGGACTACCGCAGGACAATCTGAATTACCTACTTCGCCTGCTTCTAGGGAAAAGGAAAGATGCGAACTTATTGGCTCCTAGGAGAGCGTAAAGGACCTGCTGGACTCCTGTAAACCCCATTTCTTCCCCAATTGGACAGTCTCCTGCAGCTGGTACCTGGGTGGGCAGTGACCACCATCTCTCCACATACCAGAAACCAGCATCGTTACATGAGATGGAAACCAATGTGCACAAACACCCTACCTTGTATCAAAGTTGTTGCCCTTTGCAGCTCAGTCTTGTACATATCCCCCCACCCCTTCTCTTGCCTGGTCCCTTTCCTCCCTCCATTCTGTAAATATCTGTATCTAAACCAGAATATTTTGGCCAAATATAGAACAACAAAAAAGTCATGGTGTCATAGTCTGGGTTAGGGGCAACTCTCAGGAAAGGTTATAGGGTATGGACATGAAAACTCACAGAATCACTGAACTAGCAATCTCGGGATGAAAGAGAACCCTTTATGTAAAGTCCTTTCACCAAATACAGACTTCACCTTCTCCCCACTTTTCCACTACAAACAAATCAATCTCATAGTCTACTTCTGTCTTCAACCCTTAAGTAGGAGTAGTTCTACACCCTTTACTACCCAGCCCACCTCCCTGACAGACAAGGGAAGATATTTCTCCTAAATGGTGGGAGAAATCCTCAGGTTCGTAGGGCAGAGGCTGCCCTAGAGACAAAGGCACTGGTGTTGAGAAGCTGCAGTTCTTCCGGAATGGTGTGTCCAATGTCTTGATATTACTGACACCCTGAAAGAGTGCCAGAATGAAGACAGATCCCCTCACCAAGCCAGAACAGAAGAGCCTCTTCTTCTCTTTCTCCACCCCCAGCCCCATCTTCCAGTCACCCTCACACACCGGTAGCTGTGATGCCCTCTGCTTCCAGAAGGTTTCAGGTTGCTCCTGACGGTAGTCGTGAGGCTGAAGAGAAAGACTGGATTAATTTTTGGCCTGAAGCTCCCTCTGTCAACCCCAGGGCTTGCTTCTTTCCTAGCTCATCAGAGCTCAGCTGTATAAGTAGGGTGGGATGGGTTCTCACCTTTGTTGGGGCCGGAGGCCCCGCTTGCACCAGCTCCTTTTTGTAGTCATGGTGTGTCACAGACTCGACCTCAGAGTGCTTCCTTGTGGTTTCCTGTTCCACCTGTACCTCTTTACTATACAGCCCTGGGATAGTCAAGGCCATTCTCCCCTGGTTTTTGACCTCCCCCTCCCTTTCCCTCTTCACCCAGCCTCTCACCAGATTTGGTGGTGCAGGACCATCTCCAGCATGGCTTCACGCTTCCCTATGGGAGGGCAGAGTGTGGAAAGTGAGGAAGTCTGGTTAAGAAGGAGGGCCAGAATAAGCAAATTTGAGAAAAGGAAGGAAAATTGTAGGCGTTTGCCCTTATTTCCATAGGACAATTAAAAATCCCATGAGAAATTCATTCCTCTCTTTTTCTCTCTAACGGATTTATTCTGTCACTCCCTCATGCTTCTCACCTCGAAGAGGCTGGTGGTGATTTCTCAGGAACTGATAAGAATCTTTCTGGGTGGTGCTGCAGGACATGGGTGACTGTAGCTGCAGGGTCAGCAGTCCCTGGTGTCCATGTCGGAAGAAGTAACTCTCAGAGCCATCCTGCATGCTTGGGACTTGATCCAGGTGGTTGGTGGCTCTCTATGGACCCCAAATTAAATTACCATGATATCTTTTCCCGTACTACCTTCATCATCAACTACTGCTTCCCCCAGGAAACTGGGGAGGGGCAGCCTTCAAGAAAAGGGAGTAAGTCAAAACTGTAATACCTCCTCCTCCCAGTTGTAGAGAAGACATTGGCCCCTTGGCATTGTTTCATGAAGAAATTCACACTTCTCTTCAGCCTCAGGGGGCTTCCATAACCCTCGAACACCAGGTTCTGGGACTTGCAAACATTCCCATGGTGGTTGTTTCTGAGGCTCCCCATGGCACGAAGCATAATTAAGGGCCAGATCTGCCCCAGGAGTCCTGAAGCTTGAAGGAGCACAGAGCCTGACCTCAGAGACATTGACACAAACTGGACTATGCCCAGATTTAGGGGCAGGACCAGCACCTCTACCAGAACTATAACAAGGACTAGAGTCATGGTCAAGACCAGAGCTGGAGCCCTGAGCAGCGGCAGGATAAGAACGAGGGCCAATTGAAGTACAGGCATCCTCAGTAATAGAGGAAAGACGGACAGGATCACAGCTAAGACTTTCCTGGCTTGTCTTTGCAGTGTGAGGCTCTCCAAGAAGACTGTCAGAGTAGGTCTCCATGAGAAGGCTGGGCTGAGTCGGGCCCTGGGGTGTTTGTAGGTAATGATGTTGCTTTAGCGCTGGAGGTCGCTGTTGTGGATTATGCAGGCTGGGTCGACCGAGGACGGTCATCCAAAGAGGGAAACGGTTCCAAGTCGGACCCCAATCCTTCAGAATTGGGCTGTAGGTCTAAAGATGTGAAAGAAAACAAATGCGTCGACGTTGCTAAAAGCGCGGTAGAGAAAGTTCGCTGAGCTTGTTCCCTTACGCCTGCAGCCAGAACTGCGCTTTCCACCGCAACTGGTCTGTAGATCCGCCCCTATCTTCAGACACACGCTACCGGGTTGCCATAGAGATGGCAAATCATTCCAGGAGACTGCGCAGAACTAGAGCTGGGCGGACTTAGAGCGTGGGGGTGGAGGCAAGTATTCTGCGGGGCGGAGTCTCTTAAACCCGGAGCCGCGCGGACCGCCTGTTCTCCATCCAGATTCCATTCCCACTCGGCCCAGCATTTAAGGTTCCGCTCGCCTCGCCCAGCATGATTCGCTGAGGCTTTCTAAGATGTTCTTTGTGTTGGAGACAGGAGTGTGATATCAGACTAAAGACTTGTCCGTGTGTTTGTGCAAGGCAATAGTTACTTTCCCCTTAGTTTACTTTTAAAAGAAAGGTAAGTGTTTAAAAAAATTCAAGGATTAAAATCTCACATGACAAATTAAAAGCAAACGGTGAGACATGGGGATAGTCAAAGGGTAGCAGCCTTTTAGGTTGTGGTTACTGTCTACTAGCAGGCCTGCACTTGATCACCCTCCTCCCATCTCTTTAGAACTTGGCTTGGCATTTGAATAAGGGCCAGAATAAAGCTAGTCTCACTCCTGGGTTTCAGGGTCTTCCTGTTTACTCAAGCTTATTCCTTTTTTTTTTTTTTTGCCTATTTTTTTTTCCTTAATTTTACTTGAGCTTATTCTTAATGCTGCTTTTCTAGAAGCTTGACCCAGGTAGACCACTACTCACAAGAACCCACAGGTCTATAATAAAATGCTCTTTTAACTATTGATGGTCCTCCTTAATGTCTTTCACTAAGACCATAGTCAAGAGGCATCATAGCCCTGAATCAGTTTTCTTTCCTATTTGTGGTATAGATCTTAATATATTTAAGACAGGGATCCAAAATTGAGGGAGGGGCCTCCCTGGTGGCGCAAGGGACTAAGACCCAGCACTATGGCTGTGGAAGCTATCCACAGCCACTGCAACAATAGTTCAATCCCCAGAACCAGGGAGGTGACCCACATGGTATAGCAGACCTCTCCTGACTCGCTGACTGCTCCCCTCAGCAGTGTATTTCAGTCAACCCACCTGTTCTGTTCCCTACTCTGTCCCTTATGAATCCTTTCACCCCCCATACCTCTGGCCTATACCCCAGTTCTTGTATGCATAAATAAATCTTTAAAAAAAAAACAAAATTGAGGGAGATCAGGTTTATTAGCATCACAGGGTTCCTTTTCCCTCCCACTCCATCCAAGCATCCAGATGCGGTGTCTTTGGTTAGTTGGTAGGTTCAACCTGGAGGCCACTGGAGCTGTCGGCCCCCCAGGACGTGAATGTGCAGATGATATACAGACTGTGCACCCAGCTTCCCATCGTTGATCACTGAAATAGAATGTGAGGTTAGGAGGTCATGGGGAAGGTCAAGGGCTAAAGATCATATTGAGAGGTAGTTCCGAGAATTCACAGGTGAGGGGTGCAATGACTGAAAGTAACTCACCAAGTCGGTATCCATCTCCCAGCCCCTGAGCCTTTGCTGTTTTTTTGGCCACAAGAAGAAGGTGTCCTAGAAGCTACAGTGAAAAGGGAGACAGGGGGCATCATTCACAGAACAAAGCCTTCAGCTGAATCCAGGGTTTCCTGCTGAAAAGTTTTGCCCTGTTATTCCCACCTGCTGATCTTCTTCTTCAGCCTGGCTAATCCGAGGAATGGGCTTCTTAGGAATGACCAGGAAGTGCACAGGAGCCTGAGGGGCCACATCACGGAATACGAGACACTGGGGCAGATGAGAAGTCATCATGTTACTTCAATAGGCCAGATGGTATCTATGATAGATTCCTAAGGGTAGGGTCCTAAGGGCACTCCACCTGCTGGTCCTCATATAGAATGTCAGCGGGGAGGCTTCGGTCCAGGATCCGGGAGAAGATGGTGGGGGCTGCTCCACCAGGAGCTGCCTGCTTGGCCTTGGCCACTTCATCCCCACCAGTAACACCTGCAGCTCTTCGGACCTGAAGGTGGGTCAGAGACAACCAAGGGAGTTAGTCAGGCAGAAGGTGGGCTCTACTAGTCCTTAACTTCACACTTCTAAAAACACCTATTGGTGGTTCCCACCCAGAAGAAAAATTTCGCAAGAGCATCAAACAGCAGAATAGGACCAGAGGGGCCTGGTTAAATAGCAGGCACTGTTACAATGTAGGAGTCAACCACACAATTGATTCCTGCTCCTCAAGTGTGCAGGAAATTGTATGTTCGTGGGAAAGGATCCAGAGAGCTTAGAGACTTAGATTCCTGTTCATATTTTAACTACTGAATTACCCTGGGTAAATTCCTTGGCTTAGCTTCAAATATAAGGGGGATGGTATGCATCCTGAGACCACTTTCCATTTATTCTCACCTTGTTAATAAGTTTTCATTTTATTGCCACTGTGTGTTTTCTGACCTTTGAGCCCTGTTACCTCTTTTTCTCAGGCTTTAATACAAGTGCCGTTTGACACGAGGGCGTCTGGGTGCCACATCTGATCTCTTTTTGTGAATTTTAACTCTAGTCCCTTGAACCAGTGAAGCGTTAAAGTGAACTCGGCCCCCTCAGCCACAGGTGATTGAGGGTAGGGAAGTCCCAGTTTCCAGGGGCTCATGGAAGACTGGAGCCAGCACTGTCGAATTGTGAGAGAAAAGATCGGCGTGTACCTGACCCTCGAGTCACCAGTGCTCGGTGGCAGGCAGGGGCCAGAGGCAGGCTGAAGACTGGCTCCGAAAAAGCAGCAGCTCACTTCCTGCAGGGGGCACTGAGGAGGCTGCCCCGAGCAGGAGCCGGCCAGCCGGGCGTCAGGCAGACGCTCATGACCCTGTCCCGACCTCAGCACCCGGCCTGTGCAAGGCAACTGTGCTCGCCAGGTAGCTACTCCCGCGGCGAGGCTTTCGGAGATGCCGCCGCGACCACCAGCCCGACTCAACTCGCAGCCCCGGGGTGCGCCCTGGGGGGCCAGCACGCCGAGTCCCGCTCTCGGGCTCCGGCCCCGCAAGGCCGCAGGGCTGCGCGCGCCTTCGGGTCCCGAGAAGATTGCCGCCCCCGGCCCTGCCTGTGGTCGGGGCCCGGGGAACCCCCTCCTCGCCAGCGTAGCTACGTCTCACCTGCGCCCCCCACGGCCCCGCGGCCGCCACAGTCCCGCGCGCCACGCGCAGCCCGGCGACCAGCGCCACGGCCGCCGCCATCTTCCCCGGCCGTGGGCGCCTCTCCCGCGGGCCCTGCTCGGGGCTGCGCGCCGGCCGGAGGCGGGGCCGGGGGGCGGGCCCCGACGCCCCATTGGACGGCGCTCTGGCCTTGCTCTCCGCCTCTTTCGGCTCCTGGGTGGCTCTGCGCGCTCCCCTGGCCTCGCTGCCGCCGGAGGGGCGGTGTCTTCTCAGCGGTGGCTGCTTCTGCCAGCTCCAGGGCGGCTTCCGATGCAGCGGCTTCGTCTTTTAATCAGCGTGAACGCTCTCTTGCTACTGGACCCCCTGTTTCAGGCTATGAGACAGTTCCTCGCTCTTTTGGAAGGATCCCCAGAGGGAGGTTTTCCTCCTTTTCGTTCCGCACGCAGCGCCCGCCCGGACTTGGGCTGCGCCCCCAGCGGGTGGGCTCCGCTGACTGAGGCCCGGCCCCGACGGGAGGGCCGCGAGGGGGCGGGGCCGCGTCACCTGCCGCGCACGGGCTCTGCGACCGCAGACCCTCGCACCGCATTGGCCCCCGGGAGGGCGGGGTTCTGCGCGTCCTCCGCGCTCATTGGCTCCAGGAGCCGCCGCTAACCCCGGGAGTTCAAGCCCCGGGGAGCTGGGCTGGAGAGCAAGGGACCGTGACCCGGCCTGGTTTTCCATTATTTCCGACACAAGGGCAGTGTAGACCTTGAGCTTTTCAGGGACTCTAATTTACTCATCTAAGGGTAATTTCTCAGTGTTAAGTTCTTAACAGATTCACTTCCAAGATGCAAGATTATGCAGTTTTCACTGCGGTGTTTGCATTTTTTTTCCCCCATGGGCAGGGGCAGGAGTGTCTTTTGCTACACGACTGATAAGCAAAGTAGTATGTAACTAGTGTTCTTTCCTAATCTGAAAAGGTGTGTCATGTGATTAGCTTGTGAATGGCATTCTCAGTTAGCTGGGAGTGAAGAACAAGGGAAATGCACCATGGATAGGTCAGTGGTATATTTTGCTCTGCTGGAATATATATTTTTTGACCTAAAAAACATGGGGCCACCAAATATTAATATACTTATACCCAAGCTCTGCTTTTGGGCCCTGGCTTCTTAGCCTTGGGCTTTGCCCGTTTGACTGAACTTTGGCCTATGAAGGCATGGTAAATTCTGGAATTTGACTTGGAGTCTGTATTTTGAAATCCTCTTCTCCACTACTCACAGTTCCTCTTCTCTATTCCATTTCAGTCTCTTCCCCATTAAACATCTTTGAACACTCTAAAGTTTGATTATTTTGCTTTCATGTGTGTAGATGGCACAAAGGCTTAGAATGGGCAATGTGGGCTTTTCCTCTTAATAATTTGGGGCCCCCGGGCATTCTTCGGTTTTGCCCAGTATCAGCTTTGGGCCCCTGCTGTTTTGCTGGGTATCACAAGCCTCTGTGACCACCTGCCTGCGGTGACTCTCATCTAAAAACTGCAGCCCGGTACAGGATCTAACTATGGCCTCCTGTGCTTCCATGGCTCTCACTGCGCCCACTTGCTTCTGGACCTCATTAAAGATGTCTGCTCTTTGCTCCTTTTTCATCTGTGGGTTGCTTCCTGGTTTCACTATGTTTCCCTATTTGTGTAGTCAGCTCCTTCCACATCTTGGGGTCTTCTTCTATTGCCTCCTTTTCCAGATCATCCTCCCATCACCACCCATTATTTTAAATAGTTTGCTTCTCCACTTCTCTAGTTTCTGCTTCCAGCTGTACCTGAATCTTCAACTGTCCTCTGATCAGGTTTTTCTCCAGTTCCCCACATTAGCCTTCCCAAGCCTTCACCTCTATCTTCCTGTTATCCCCCCAACCTCTTAACCCTCTCCTCCCCTACCAACAACTGACCTTGTTTCTTACTGCACAGGGGAACATAGAAGGTTCCCATTGGGACCTTCCACAAGATCCTGCTCCTGGCAAATCAGTGAAGTGTCATTTCTTCCATCTTCTTGGTTGTAGGAAGTGGTGTTTCCCCTGTATAAAGTGAATCCCTTCACCTCTGCTTTCACCTCATCTACTCCCTCCATCTATGGGATCTTGTTTCACCAGGTATCTCTTTCTCTTCTGTGTCCTCCAAGGTCTTTTTCTTTTTGTCTACTGGTCCCCTCCCTTTTTCCTTTCTAAAAAATACTTCTTCGATGACACCTCCCTCTCTGGATAATGTCTTACTTCTCATCTACTCTTTCAACTAAGGTTCTTGAAGAAACTCCTTCGAACTTACCACTGTTAGGTCTCTGTCTTCACTGTACTGAGGGTGGTGGTGGTGGGGAACTGCACCCTCTAAAGTCTCTTCCAAAGACCTAATTGCAAAATCCTTTTCAGTCTTCATCTTACTGGAACCCTCAGCTGCATCTAACCTCACTGCTTACTCTCTATCATTCTTGAAACTCTCTCCCTCCTTAGCTTCCTCAAAGTTACTGTCCCCTGATGCCAGCATTAGCAGCTTGAATGTGGGTGTGGTGGAGGCAGATGGCTTTCTCCTTTGTGGTACACCCTTTAGCCCCCAGTCCATGCCAACTCTGAGGTCCTAAGATGTCTATTCCTGGTCTAGGCTCCATCTGCCCATATAGAGTCAGCTCAGATTCCAATGTCTTCCCCTTTATTGCTGATCTGGGTCAGGCTTACAAAGGCCTGTGCCAGGTGTTGACCGTGTTTGTCCCTGGAGGAGAGAAGTGCAGAGGCAAGAGGGTCAGGAATGGGGGTTAATGTAGGGCCATATCAGAGGCTGTATGGGCTGGGGATCCCAGGGGTGGGGGCTGGGATGGCCAGAGAACCCTTGGTTATGCAGGGCCTCAAAGTCAGAGTTGTTGAAATGGCTTCTTGGAGGGTAGTTTTCTCTGCAAGGGGTATACAGTCTGCTCCTGGGGGCAGAGACCAGTGCAGGTATGGGACACAACAAGTAATGGGGTGAGATAGTCCTGGATAGGGTGGTTGAGGGCAGGAGTGCTTTCCTGCCTGACCTGCCTACAGACCCCAGAGTGGCTCCCTGTCTCTGGATGACTTCTCACCATGAGGCCTTCCTCCTCGCCGCCGGGTCTCTTCAGTCTCAAAGAAAGTCTCGTGTTCTTCCCAGCGCCGGTCGCAGGCCGCACAGAGGAAATTAGACTCAAAACAGTCGCAGCAACAGCCTAGGGCAAGGGGACAGCCAAGAAAAGTGTGGGTAGAGAACTGGGCTTCCTCAAGGGCTTACTACATTTTCATTTCTTTCTCACTAACCACAGAGTCAACTTTCTCCTAACCAGCTCCCCCATCCTTGTCCCTAAACTTTTTGCTCACCTAGGCTCACCCCCGCCCTCCCCTCACCCTAGAAGTTACCTTTGATCCTGCAGGGATGGGAACCGGTAGCTGCATGGTCTTCGTGGTTGTGTTTGCAACGACATTGTGCTCTCCAGGCCTTGGGATCAAAAGTGGCCCTTCTCTTGAGCCAGAACTCACCCACCTCTTCTGGGCGTGACGGGATAAAGCAGAACATGAGACAGCGGCACTGGCTTATGTTGCAGGGCACGGATATATCTACAGGGAGGGGGATGGGTGGTAGGATCAGACCAGCACCAGATAGGACCCGACCTTCCCAACCCCCATTATCTCTCTCTCTCTCTCTCTCTCTCTCTCTCCTCTCTCTCTCTCACAAACATACACTTCCACACATGTCAGGGTTTCACACCCTACCAACAGGGGATGGTCACTTATCCTACCAGAGATGATCTGGTGTTCTTTCAACAAGTGTCCACAAAAGCACTTAGACTCATCCCTAATTCGGAAACAGTCCCAGAGATAGTGGGGGCAGCGCCAACCAATGTAGAGACCTGGGTGTGGAGGGATTGAGTAATAAGAGCTTGGTTTAGTGGGATCTGAATGGCTTCAAAGCCAATCTCACCACAAGGCAAGGGTGGTGTGGTATAAATGTGAGAGGAAAACCAGAGAGCATTTTCCACTCAGAGTTTTTCATCCTGAGAGCCACCCCCCGACCCCACCCCAACCCTAGTCAAGAGTCCTGTATGAGTCCCAAACGAGCAGGAGCTTCAAATGCAGGATTTTTTTCATTCCTATTTAAAGGTTCCAATGAAGTGTCACCTCCACCATAAAGTTGTCCCCTACTCCCCCACTCTTGGGGCCCCTTCTCTGGCCTCCCATGGCTCCTTGTGCTACTCCTGTCACACCACAGTACATTATAATGGACTGTTCACTTATACCCCATTAGACTGAGTTCCTCCAAGGAAGGGCCTGTTTTTCTCATCTATATCTTTAGTTTTAGCAGAGGGTGTGGCACAAAACAGGTGCTCAGAGAACATAGAGTTCGTAAGTGAATGAACAAATTCCTTCAGGAAGGAAGGGAGACCCAGTATCTAGGCATGACCCTGGACTTCCAGAAGAGTAAGAGTACCCTCTGGTCTTTGATGCTGGGGGCCACAATCCACAATTCTATGCCTGATTGTCAGACTGAGTTTTCTTGTCTTACCCATGGTATTCCAGGGTATAAAACCTCCCCAGATGTGACTTTTGGCTTTGCTGTCTTAGTCTTGCTACTGACAGCCTATAGTGCCAGTGTTCCATCACACCTCCTAAACAATGGTTAGAAGGATTTAGGGTTTAGGCAGAGTCACAATGGGCATGGGTGGGGGCCAGGATTCCACTAGAGGAATTCTGAACTTTATTTGGAGTAACAGGATAACTGGATGAGCAGGTGAGGTGCGGAGGTGAATAAGGTTTGGCCTGGGGTCTGGAAGAGTCAAGCATAAGCACTGATATGGGAGTCAGTGCCCAGTGTTCAGAGGAAGACTGGATTTTGAATGGAGAAACTGACAACTACAGATTCTATTATAGGTGTCAGTGCCCTTAAAGTGGAATAGTTGACATCTGGCAGTATATTCCAGAGTAGGGTCTTCTATTTGTCCTGACTCCAAACCTTCTTCCTATCATGGGTGGACAAAGACCAGAACGGAGCACAGGTATTACCTGATGCCATTTTAACTCTGTACAAAACAGTCAATTCCATGGTTACACAATCACATTTGCATGAAAATCTCTATAGTCAGGATGTCTCCATATAATACATAGCTGTTTTTACATGAGGGATGTCTCTGACCTCTCTCCTGGACTACAGACCCCCTTAAACCAGCTGCCCACTAGACTCTCTTACAAGTGTGTTCCATAAAACCTCAAATGTGTTATATCCAGTTATTCCTTCCAAATCTGACACTCATCCTTTGTTTTCTACTCATCCAACAGACTTACCAAGCATCTACTCTGTTTTAGGCATTCTGTTAAAGGCACCATCATCCAATCAATTATATAAGCCAAAATCCTAGGTGTTATTTCAGGTTCATCCCTCTTACCCTACACATTAAATGATCCAACGGTCAGTTTTACCTATTCAGTACTTCCCAAATCTGCTTCTCTCCACAGCCACCAATCCACTTATTTGAATTAGTACCAGTGCCACAATGTAGTCTTCCCATCAGCAGCATTGTCTTTCTCTAGTCTATCCCATCACCAGAGTGATCTTTCAAAAAGTTTGTGTTATTGTTTCATTTAAAATATTTTAGTGACTCTCAAGTTACCATCAGATATAATCCCAACTCTTGAACTTGGCACAGAAATGCCTGCAGAATTCTGTGTCCTTCTGGTGCTGAGCTAGGCTACTCGACCCAAAATCCATGCAGCAGGTGACTTGCTCTGTCATGTCTCACATTGTCCCACTTTACCTTCCCCCTTACTTATCTTACAGATTTCAAATGAGAAGTCATTCCTTCTTACGCTTATTCCTTGAGCCACTGATAGTGGTTGCTCCTTTGCTCCGCTGGCCTGACCTCAATCATAACAATTATTAGAATGAATTGTAATTATCTTTTTACTTAGTGGTGTCCTGCACTAGAGTGCAAATTAATTGAGGTTTTTGTCGTTGAAACCCCACCAGCACCACCAGCTCCAGAGCTAGCTCAACACCTGGCACATAAATGATGCTCAGCAAATGTTGAATGAACAAAAGAAAAGTTTATACTTGGTATTTCTCTACAGATCACATATACTATTATGAGTCCCGACTCTCCAGAGAGTCATGATCCATGATATCTTTGTCTAGAATTGAGTGACACTTAAATTTCAGTATGACTGCTTGTTTAAATAGGAAGATGAAGTTCAGTCTGAAGAAGAAATGCAGTAGCTTTGAAGAATGGAGGTTCTGAGGAGAATGAGAATGAGGGAACTGAATAGGTTCAATCACAAGAAGAATAAGAGTGGCAAAAGATGTTAAAATAAGTAAGCAAAGCCATTTCATGCCTGAATTGAGACCAAGGAACAGATAAAAGATAACTATGACTTGACCAGGGATGGGTGGGGGAGGGTCCCTACATGGTAATGAGGAAAGTAAATTACATGAAGGAGGGACAAGGAATGGAATTACCTGAATGTCTGTGTATCTTTGGCCCATCTAGTTTAAATACAACTCTTTTCCCATCATAAAGAGAAAGGAAGTATGAAAGACCAGAGTAAATGCAGTGAAATCTATTAAATTCAGTTTAGAAACTCCAGCATCCTCACAGCAGATAAGGATAGTCTCTCATGAAAGTAATCCCTATAGAACCAAATAAGACATCAGTGTGAAAAAATAACAACAGTACAAAACACAAAAAAGTACAAAAACAGTACAAAACTAGGCAATTATAAATCAGAGACATCCTGCAAGGGAGAAGGAGGGAGAGGGAGGGATCAGAGGGAGGGAGGGAGGAGCACAGGGGACTGAGGTGACGGTGCACAGGTGCATTGGGGTAGGAAATTCCATGGGGACTATACCTGAGGGGGTGGTGGGAAACAAATATTGTTTAAAATGAACAGTGATGTAAAAAAAAATAAAAAAAAATAAAAAAGAAAGTAATCCCTATAGATCTGAAGTTTGGTAACACAGGTAGATATACTCATACACGTAATGGATGTGTTTACACAATTCATAGGCACATCCTTTATAAACATAGACATACATGCCCTGCCACTAACATGCCCTGTTTCTGGAATGAAATTCAGAAAACGTGGCTGGCTCTCTGGTGAGAAGACTCAAAACTACTGTGTACTCAGGTGATCATGGTCTGGCCTGGGAACAACCCTTCCACTAAGGGGAAAAGGCCTTTTTTTTTTTTTTTTTAATTTGTTTTATTTATTTATTTATTTTTTAAATATTAAATTTTATTTTTATATTCCCCATACAATTGCAAACGCCCCATTCTGACCCAATCCTTCCCCTCCCGCCCCCAACCCCAAAAAGTGTCTCTGGTTCATAGTTTTTTGTTGATTTTGATTTTCACTTTCTTATATTCATTTTCCTGGTCCCTTATTTAAGTTTTCTAGATTCCTGCTATGAGTGAGACCAGGAAAAGGCCTTTTGCAATGTCGGTCAAGTCTCTTGGCAAGTGTCCAGGGTCCTGGGCCATCTCTGCTTTATGCTCTTTTTGGCACAAGCTATCTGAGTGCTAGATTTGGGGTTGGCCTGTGGCCCTTCTGTTTTTAACAACTTTTAACTGTCTAGCTTTTCAATGAATAGCCTTACTTTATGGTTTTTTGGTGAATAGCCTCACTTTTTGTCTGCATCCACATTATCAACCCTGGCCTACCCGAATACTCCCCTTGCAGATAAAATGTAGGAAGCATTTCCACTTCCACAGGGCCAGCAATCCACTGAATGGGCAGGTTCACAGATCCTGTTGGACTGGAGGATGGCTATGGACCTGTCACAGGCCTCTGAAAGACTGTCTGGGCTCACCTGTCTGGAGAGCACATAGGGCTGTGTTCTTCTCCCACTGGAAACGATATTGCACCTGAGCACCAAATTTCTCTCTGGGCATTGCCTTAGCCACTTCCACCAGCTCTCCCTGTTTAGCAGGGACCACTGGCTGGACTGGGTAACCTGGGGAGAGGGGCTGAGTAACCAAGGGGAAGTGAGGAGGCCCTAAAACTAAGAGGAAGGACAAGGTCAGTGGGTAATCCCATCCCGCCTTCTGGGGCAATTCAAAGACAGTGATGAGAATGGGGACAAAGGATAGGAACAATTACTGATAACACCTTTCTTTCCCTTCTTCTTGCCCAGTTGGTGTTCAGGCTGAGCAGTGCTGTCAGTGACATCTACCCCCTTCTCATCCTCTTTTTCCTCTTCCTTCTGCTCTGCAGATTTATCCAGCTGAATCTGGGCTGAAGAACCTGGAGGGGTGTGTTGTTGAAGAGACTCATAATCAGATATCTGTAAGTCTCTCCTGGTTGATGAGCCCTCATTAGAGGAAGATGGAAATACAAAGTCTTCTTTCAGATAATCAGAAGAAGATACAGAGGAATGACGTCGTGCTAAGGTGTGAACAATAAAATTTTCCTCTGGCACCTGGGGGATATGAATCTCCAGAGGAAACTCAGAGGTAGAGTGCTCTGAAGGGTGTTTGGAAGGCTCTAAGGGGGATGCCGATGGGTGGATCTCCATCAGCATCTGGGAAGAGGATGATGGCATTATGTGAGTTTCAGAGGTAAGAGTCTCTAAAGGGGTCTCAGAGATAGAAGGCTCCAAGATGGCTGCAGAGGGGTGGACCTCCGAAGGTAGCTGGGAAGAGGATGACGGCACCATATGAAATTCAGAGGTAAGAACCTCTAAAGGGGTCTCGGCAATGGCAGACTCCAAGATAGTTTCAGAAGTTTGGATGTCTAATGGTGTCAGGGAAGAGGATGGCATCACATTATATTCAGAAGTAAGGGCCTCTAAAGGTGTCTCAGAGATGGCTGCAGAGGGGTGGATCTCTAAAGGTGTCTGGGGAGAGGATGATGGCACCAGAAGAGAGTCAGAGGTAAGGGGCACTAAAGGGGTCTCAGGAATGGAAGGCTCCAAGATGGTTTCAGAGGTAGAGAGCTCCTGAAAGTCCTCAGCAGAGGGGTCCTTTGAAGAGATGTGCTCCTGGGACTCCACGGTGGTATGAGGCTTTTCTGTGACCTGGTCTGCTTCCATCTAGTGGTAAAATAGGGTACAGGTTTCACTAGGTTGGAATTGAAGGCTCTGTAAGCTGAGGTTCACAGGGGCTTATGGAATTTGGATAAGGATCGCAGTGCACCTCAGATGTAAGGGGGATGCAGATGAGCTCTGGATCAGGGTATAGTGCTAGAGGTTCATCCATGTGCACAGACCCCATGTGGCATGCTGCTCTGGGTTGTGAGGGAGATGGAACTTAAAGTCTGGAGCAGTCAGAATCCCATCAGTAGATGGTAGCAGAGGGCCATATCCCAGAAGGAGCCTGCCTGCAACAACTCAGTGAGTTCAAGAGCAGGCTCAAGGGCATACCTCAGGACCATGGAGGTCAGAGTGTGCAGTTCTAGAGACTGAGAATATCAAGCCAAAGTGGGGGCATGTTCCCAAGAGCGCAGGAGGATGTCATTATACATTACACAGGGCCCTGACCACCACAGTCTAGTTTTGTGTAGGGATCTCATCACATACGCTCCCTTGAAGATGTCCTTCGTGTTCAAAGCTTCAGCTTCCAGCTGTACACTGATGACTCCTAAATCCATATTTCTACCTCAGACCTCTTCAGCCCCCCATACTTCGCACTCAAACCCAACTGCATGCTAAACATTACTAAACGGAGTTCCCAAAGGGCATCAAAACTGCACTCTGGGGGTTGTTCTAATTTCCAGTTAAGTGAGCATCAAGGACTGTATTTCCTGTCTTCTAAATATTCCCATTATCCATTCTCCCCTCTCCTTTTCCTCCAAATTCATTCAAGTTTTCATTATCCTCTCTCTGGATTATGTAATAACATTGTCCCTTTGCTGTTTTCCCCAGCATATTAATTCACTAACCTATTCTTTCATCAATTTATGTAACTTAAACTTTTACAAAGAGCCTAATCTTACCTGGGAAGGAGACAGGTTAACTAAAACGACAATGCAAATGAGTTGGTGTTGCCCTAGAGGTAAATCCAGAATGCCCCCCTGGAGAACAAGGTGTGCCTATTTTATTTTGGAAGGCTGTCCAAAAGAAGTCAGTACTCCTTATTGACCCACACTGAGCTCTTTCTAAAATACAAACCCAACAATGGCATTCTCTTGCTTACAAATATTCACTGATTCAGCCTAAAGATTAAGTATAAATTTCTTGTCATCACTTGTAACGCTACCTGAGGAAGGACTCCAGCCTTAAATTTACTTGTTCTCTACTCTCCCACACTGCTGCAACACTCCCCGCCCTTCTAGAGAGATACAATATTTCACTTCAACTCATCGGGACCTTTCCAAAGGGGAAATTTGGAGCAAGGATTATGGGGAGATGTATGATGATGGCGGGGGAGGAAGATGATCAGACGGACCATGACCATAAAGGGACCTGAGGGTGGAGAATTAGCATGGTAGGAGAGAACTGGGTGTGGCGATGTGGTGGAAGGGAGGAGTAAAGATGAAAAGTCGAGAATGGGAGGGGGTTGGACGGAGAGGTGGGAAGGGCACAGAAGGTGTTAGGAGGGGGATGGGATGAGGATTTGGAGGAGGGTATGTTGGAGAAACTACATACCTCTGGGCTTTGGCTTGGTTGTTACAAGTCGTTAGGTAAGGATCTTGTCTGACGCTGGAAGGTTGGGAAGGGGATAGTGTTAGCCACGAGGGAGGGAAGGCTCTAGGTTTTGAATGAGCTCCGACTGCAGGGGCTGTGTGGAGACAGGTCGTGCCTACAAGTCTACGACTTGGACACCTGCAGAAATTCGCAAAGGAGCTCTAGCCAGATTTAGGGAAGGGCGGATGAGGAGGGACAAGGGGTCTGAGGTGAAAGAGGGAGGGGCTTGACTGAAGCCTCTGGAACGCAGGCAGGTGGAGGAGGCCTCCGTCACCAGGGCAACTGGAACGCCCAGTAGTCTTCGTGGCAACTGCAGTCTGGTCACTTCCCCTGTGGGTGAGGTCTCCTGTGGGGGCTGCACTGTATCCGGAGGGGCCGAACCTAGTGGGCTCATTTCTTTTAAGGGGTTTTGCGGGATCTCTGAGAGTTTCTGGGCAGTGTCTGTTCGTGGGTGTCTGGGTTTGTGAGGGTTCTCAAGGGATGTCTGTAGGGGGCTAGTCAGTCGGGAACGTAAGGATCAGAGCTCAGCGTCTGACTCTTGTTGGGGTGAGAAAAGCCGGCGGCCAGGTAGCTGGGGCGCAGACCTCCGTCCAGCAGGACCAAGTTAGAGACCAATAGAATGGGGAAGGAGGCGGGCTTTTCTAAAAAGGACCAATAGAACTGATTGGAGGGCGGAGCATCATGCTGACGTCAGTACGAGGCCGCCGCCGCTGGGCCTGGTTATAGCCGGTCCAGCGCAGCCCGGAGTCGCACAGGCCTGAACTCCTACCCAGGTCCCCGGCCCGGCACCAGCAGGCCCAACCCCGGACCCGGATCCGCGAGGACACTGGAGGCCACCCCCCGGGGGTGGGGAGCGGAGCCGCGGGTCAGCTCTGCGAGCGCCCCGCGCTGGCCGGTTCCGGCCCCGCCCCCGCCCCGGGCCATGGCCCAGCCCTTGTCCCGGCCCCTCGTCCTATCCCGATCTGGACCTTGGCCCCCAGCCCCGCCGTCACCCAGCTTCCCAAATCGGTCCCGGCCCGAGCCTGGGTCCCAGCGAATGCCCAGATCCCGGCCCCAACCTAGGCCTCCCATCCAGTCCCAGTCCATTGACTGGCCCCTACGCTTGTTTCACCTCCTGTCACAATTCCCAGCCCAGTCCCTGTCCCAACCCCATTCCCAGTATTTGCTTAAGCCCAGGGCCCGACTCCTGCCCTTGCTCCAGTCCCCATCACAGACCCTCCTTCCTCCCCATCCCCTGCCCTTGCATAAGCCCCAGTGCCTAGCCCTACCCAACCCATTAGCTCAGCCTTTGCCTTCATCTCTGTGTTTACCCAAGTCTCTCCCACTACCCCCCACTGTCTCTCATACCCTGCCCCTCTCCCAGCCTCGACTCAGGTCTGGGCTCCAGCTGCCACCAGCCCTATTGCTGCTGTTGCTGTTCTCTGTGCTTGGCCCAGGGGCTGGTGAGTGCAGAAGCAGGAAAAGATTGAGGCAGGCAGGGATGGGGTTCTGGCAGGGCGGGATGGACTGGAGGGATTTAAGAGAGGTGAGACCTGGGCCACTAGATCGTTGGGGAGGAAGTGGGGAGAAATATGGAGGAGAAAGTTCTTATACAGCTGAGAGAAATTGGGAGGGTTGGCTTAAGACTTTGAAGGTGGCCAGTAGTCCCTAGGACAGACCCAACGGTTTTCTTTCCTGGAGTCTATTCTGATGCAGTCCCCAAGTTAACACTTGCTTTTCTAGGGGAGTCTTGAGGGCTTTGCTCCTGCTTGCAAAGTTTGCTGGGGGAGACATAGTTCCATGCCAGAGTGCCTTTAGTCCAATGTGGGAGATCTAAACCTTTGAGATAACTGGGCATGCACTAGAACAGGGTTAATAAAGCATTTTGAAAATACCATGTAGAAAACAGGATGTGGTAGCAGATGGCCATGAGTTCGCTGCCATTAGGAGTTTTCTTCTTGTAATGAATCTTGCTCCAAACAAGCTTGATTTGCCCAGAAATAATTCCGACACTTTTAGAGCAGGGTTGCCGAGGCCATTTTGCAGATTGGCAACTGAGGCTCAGTAAGGGAAGCAATTTGTCAAAAGCCATGCAACTTTAAATGGCAGTGATGGGGGCTATAAACTCCAATATGAAGGGTTGTTTTTTGTTTTCTTTTCACTGCGATATATGTCCAACAGGAAAACAGACCCAAGTGGGGAAAGGCTGGGAAAACATCCTCTCTCTCCTCCCTGCCCACAAGGGGGCTTCATCCACAAACTGTTCCTTATTTGCCAGTTGTCAACCTAGTGCCATCATTCAGAAGTGACTTGCATGGTCACTTGGAGCGAGAGGTCCAACTTCTTCATGGATAGGATATGATGGGAATATGCCCATCATAAAGAGGTGACTGGTCTTCCTGATGTCAGCCTCCAGCTACCTCTGGTGGGTGGTACTCTAGATAAGATGATAGGTAACAGCATCTGGGAGCTGAGAGTACATAAACAAACTTGAGATCAATAAATGCCAAAACTTGCCGCCCCTGTAGAGATACCCAAGCTCTCTGTGAGTGCTCACTGGTATCTGGGCACTTACGTAAGTGTTTTGCATCTGAGGGCTCTGCGGGAATGCTGGGCATTTGCAGTATGTGTACATACTTGTGCATTTGTATGTGTGGGCACATGTATGTTGTGTGTGGTGTAGGGGAGCCTGTCGATCCTCTGAGTGTCTGTGTTACTGTGTAAGGGGGAGGATACATGTTGTGGCCCATGCATGTTCCACTTCAGCTATTTCTGCTCCTTCTGTAGAAGGATCACTGAAGTGCCAGTTTCCAATTGGCTAGGTCCTAGGCAGGAGGCAGTGGTGAGTGCCTCCCCCAACATAGGTAATCCATCTGCCCACATCCTGACTCCTTGAATGCAGGAACCAATGAGGGGCTCTGTGTTGATTACTGCTGCTGGCAAATTGGGCAATCAGCAGAGACAGTAGCCAGGCCAGTTTTTCAGTTTTGGTGAGGGGTGTCCGTACTGTTATGCCCAACTCATAGTTCTCATCCCTGCCATCAGGGCTCCTCTATTCATGATCTCATTGAATAAGTTCTGAGCTGGTCAGGGGAGGAGGGTGACTACCAGTCACAGAGCTGTCAGAAGATGTAGATTAAAGCATGATTACTAGAAATTGGTTTAGATACTTTGGGGAGAATTGCAATGAGGTGGGATAAGAAAACTGAGTAGACCTTACTGCAGCCAGGACTGCACTTCATGCTGTTCATAGTCACTGCCTGGCCGCTGTGCCTGGTGTGCAGGGTTGTTCTGGGACCTAGTGTGGAGATGAGTTTTACCTAAGGAGAGGTTGGTAGTGTCACAAGATCATCAGTACAATCTTTTTTTTTTTTTAAAGATTTATTTATTTAGTTATACAAGCACTAGGTTACAGTCAGAAGCGGGGAGGGTGAGAGAATTCACCAGAGCCAGAAACAGAATAGGCAGAGTGATGAAATATACTGCTGAGGGGAGCAGCGGGCAGCAGGAGAGGTCTGCGCGCCATGTGGGACCCTCGCTGGCGGCCGGGGATCAAACCGGCGCTGCAGAGGCTGTGGGCAGCTTCGCAGCCCAGCACTCAAACGCTGTGCCACCAGGGGAGGCCCCAACAGTATAATCTTAATAAATGCTTATTGTTGCCTTAAATCTCACCTTAGAAATGGAAGGTACGGCCTGGATTTCCTGGTCCCACCCCAAGCCTCGGGTCTTTTCCTTGGACTTAGCTGACCTACAGTTGTATAACCCAAGCATGTTTTGCCATTTGAGGAAATGACCTTTTGTTTTACTTAGTGCTGTCACTAATGAGGCCAGCCTTAGCCTCTGTGTGTGTGTGTGTGGGTGTGTTTGTTGTGTATGTGTGTTTCAGGTGATGGTGGAGAATCACTCCAGTTTCATTTAAGTACTGGAGCATGTAGAACAGGTTCATCTGAGCTTGGCTAGGGCCTTACTCATGCTTCCTCTGGGATATAGCCCCTTAGGTCCTGCTGATACCGCAGACTAAGGCATGGAGTGAATGGGACTGTGGATGCTTTCTTAAGCATCTTCCCTCAGAACTTCTAGATTCCTCCTAGTGTTCCCAGATGCTGCTTACTTCCTTTTCCCACCAGCCTATTCTGTGACCTCTAGTCCTGGCTACATGCTATTAACAGCATGAAGGGAAGTCCTGCCTGTGGTAAGGTCTACTGAGTGCTCTTATCCCATCTCATTACAATTCTCCCCAACTGGCTTAATTCTTTCCCCAGTTCTCCAGGCCATGCTATGTTATTTGAATCACAGGGTTATTTTGTGGTTTCCCAAAGGTCATTAGCTGCTTTTTACCATCAGCTGTCTGAGGGTCTGCCTGGGGGCCTGGCTAACATTTCTTCTAACAATAGCAATGGCCCAGCTGATGGTGCCAGCTCTGTGGAGGAGAAGCCCTAGCCTAACTTGAGCAGGGATGCTCCAGAGCACTGCTTTCTGGGAACTGTGGTGGCCAGGCGGCTCAGCTCTTGACTTTCTGCCTCCCAGTTGTGACAGCCAGGGCTCCTAGGGAACCTATCTGCCCTATCAGTTGGTTCATTTCCCTTCATCCCTCTTGGATACATCACCACTCTGAATGTTGCTCCACAAGGCACTCTGGATCCTGGGCAGTGCTAAGCTTGCAAGGCAGCAGGTCTTCCTTCCTGACAGTCCTTGGAGGCAACAAGTACCTTTGAAGGGGAGCACAGGTCAGTCTAGGAACGATGGCTTCTTACCTACACAGGGAAGCTCTCTAGACAGTGACTCCTGAGGTTGTTGCAGTTCGGCAGGACCCACCTTAATGAGGGAGAGTGTTAGACTAGGTAAGCCCTGTGTATATTTTCTTTCTGGCTGAGAACTCTGTTCTAGGGTCTCCCTTACTCACCTCTCCCACCCTATTCTGTCTTGAAGCTGCTGGAGTTCCCAACCTTCTTATTCTAAGGGCATCCTGTCCTAGGGGCATCTTGCTGGCACTGGTCTTAAGTTTCCAGGGCAGTCAGATTCCCGGGATCTTTGTCTGCCATTTGGGGCACTCTTCTTTCTAGCTGAACTGCTGGTTGCTTTTCACTGTTCAGCAATTCTTAGGCCCCTGACTAGCTGCTGACATCAGACTTTCCTGCTCAGGTTGGCTCTGCTTTTAACAACCGTGACTAGGTATCATGGCTTTTTAGTTAGAGATGACCACTTCCTCTTTACCTCCCACCCCATCCTTTTCCAAATATTAATATTCTCAAGTAGTTCGAACTTCTAGTAGGTCACCAATTGACTGCCT